TTAAAGGGGAAACTCTTTATTATTTGTTATCTTTAATGTTTTATACTTTTATTTTAAAAATAATCATTACCTTCTATTTTTTTCTTTACTAGAGAGTGGCTTAGATAAAGTTTTTGATGGGTTGTCGCAGTGTGGAATTCCTACACTTGATAATTCTCCTCTAAATAAATTCTTGTACATATTTGACTAAATTGATACTTTTCTTAAAGGAGTCGATCTAAGTATTTTGAAGTGGCACTCTATCACTCTAAAGTTTAATTTATTGTCTTTATATAGCAAAGCAGTTAGCAAATGAAAATAAAAGAATATGCCCCTATGTCTAAACAGAAACTATTGATTAGTCGAGACTTAGTTCTGTTCTGGGTGTCCCGCATGATAAGTTAACCCTCTGCTCTTTACATGAAACAGAGATTAGACAATAGATATTTAATGCAACTAAATTTTTTTTTGTAAAATTACAAAAGCAGATGAATTTATCATGCTTATATTTGACTGATTTACTTTCAAACCCATTAATGATTACGAACATTAATTTCTTGTGTGTCTGTGCTTTTTCCCCTTCAAGTGCTTTTAAGGTCATCCATCCACAGATCAAGGCCTTTTATTTTGCAGCTGAGAATACGCAGGAAATGAATGTGTAAGTAGAGGAAACTGTTAAATCCAGTCTTTAGGGGAATAAACTTACCTTGATCAAGCGTTTGAATTTTAAGCATATGTTCACATTCATTTTGTTTTATTTATTCCTGCTGCTTTAGGGATTAATCTCTTTAGCATCTATAATGTCTCCTTGCTTCTCTAGTATGTGGAAGCAGTTTGGAGAACTACACATATCAAAATGGCTATTTTAGGAAGAAGGAATGCGATTCTTCTGAGAGAACCAATGAGCTGAGAAAGGAATAGACAAAAGTCATTATAAGAAAATATTAAAATGAGAATCAGCATCATAGGGAGAAAAGCTTGAAAGTATTATATAAGTGATCTCACAGCTTTCAGGATTCTTTATGAAAAATAGCTCTACAGCATTTCATATGTGCTGTGTGATTATCATGATGAGTCACGTGTTTGTCACCTCTCCATGTTCAATCCCAAACATTTTGCAAAATCTCAAAGTATATCTAACATAAAGTTTTATATCCTTAAATTCCTGTTTCCTCTTTGCTCTGTTGAAATAAAGTGGAATATCTGCATAGAGCACCACGTGCCCCCTCCATCCCTGCTGGTTTAGATCATGATGTGATCACAATGGCTGTTATTTGAATGAGACTATGTACATATCTGAGGTGCTTGAAGCATCAGAGGATATTCCACTTAGCTTAAGTTCTACTTTCAGAATTCTTAGTGTCTCTTATTACCTCACATAACCAATTAAAAATATGTCTATGGAACACCTACTATGTGTCCCATTGTAGCAGAACCTGGGCAATAGAAATAAAGAATAGACATAATTCCTCCATTCATAGAGTTTAGGACTTAATCTTTTATTTATTTGTATGGAATGATTTTCTTATCCACCTACCCTATATAATTTCTCTTTGCCCTCTTCTCTAGAAACTTAAAAAA